GTTTCTTTAGGTGGAAGTTTAGGTTATTGACTTTTTTTTTTTTTTGAGATAGAGTCTTGCCCTGTCCCGTAGGCTGGAGTAAAATGGTGTGATCTCGGCTCACTGCAACCTCTGCCTCCTGGGTTCAAATGATTCTCCTGCCTCAGCCTCCCAAGTAGCTGGGATTACAGGTGCCCACCACCACGCGCCAGTTAATTTTTTAATTTTTAGTAGAGACGGGTTTTCACCATGTTGGCCAGGCTGGTCTCAAACTCCTGACCTTGTGATCCACCTGCCTCGGCCTCCAAAGTGTTGGGATTACAAGCGTGAGCCACCATGCTCAGCTGACTTTTCTTTTTAATGTAAGCATTTACAGCTTACATTTGTTCTCTGCTAGAACAAAGCAGGCAGAAGGCGGAATAGCTTTTGCTTGCTGGGTCTCCTGTCTTCCTTCTTTTTCCCATGCTGGATGCATCCTCCTGCTCCTTCCGCCCTTGGACATCAGACTCCAGCTTCTTCAGCCTTTGGACTCTTGGATTTACACCAGTGGATTGCCAGGGGCTATAGGGCCTTTGGCCACAGACTGAAGGCTGCATTGTTGGCTTCCCTAGTTTTGAGGCTTTCAGACGGAATCCCTACTGGCTTCTCTCATCCTCAGCTTGCAGATGGCCTATCGTGGGACTTCGCCTTGTGCATCATGTGAGCCAGTTCTAATAAAATCCCTTTCACATATACATATATCCTATTCGTTCTGTCCCTCTGGAGAACCCTAATACAGGTAGCAAAACTGACCACTGGAAGTCCAGACACATCCTATTAGTTTAGCATGTATAGCATCTTTCCCATTAATTCCAGCAAAAGTACTAGAGCTAACTAATTAGCCAGGAGGGGGTAATATGGACTGATAGTGGGGGGGAAAACAGTTCCTCAAGAAAAATCAGGGTGTTATTATTAAAAGAAGGAAGTGAATGAATCAATGGTGAGCAGGTCAAAACAAGATGATCAGACTGTCAGATCTCTTGATTCCTATATGCCAAGAACTACAAAGTTTATACAGCTAGTAAGTAGCTGAGACAGGACTCAATCCATTGCTGAATTATAATAAGATTTACAGCAAATTTGTAAAACAAAAGTAAAATAACCTGAGGTCTCTCTTTATTCTTAGAAGTATAAATTACAACAATAACCTTACACTGCCCCTCAAATTAAGGTAGACTTTGAAAGCTTCAAATCTGATGTTTCTAAATGCCTGGTAGATATTAAAGCCATACTCATAGTATTTGATATAATTTAGTGCTAAAAAACAAAAACAAAAACAAAAACAAAAAAACCCTGTATACTATACTATAAATATCCAGGTTTTTTTTTTTTTTTTGGATACAGGGTCTCACTGTATTGCCCAGGCTGGAGTGCAGTGGCATAATCACAGCTCACTGCAGCCTCCACCTCCTGGGCTCAAGTGATCTTCCCAGTTCAACCTCCCAAGTAGCTAGGACTATGAGGCTGGTCTCTAACTCCTGAGCTTGAGCATTCTGCCCCCCCTTGGCCTCCCAGAGTGCTGGTATAACAGATGTGAGCCACTGCTCCCAGCCACCACTTTTATTTAACATTGTACTTGGAAGTTCTAACCAGGGCAATTAGGCAATAAAAAGAATTACTTTTCTGGGGAGTGCATGCCACCACACCGAGCTAATTTTTGCAGAGAAAGAGTGTCACTTTGTTGGCCAGGCTGGTCTCGAGCTCCTGGGCTCCAGTGATCCTCCTGTCATGACCTCTCAAAGTGCCAGGATTACAGCTGTAAGCCACTGTGCCCAGTCTTCTTTTTTTTCAGACAAGGTCTCACTCTGTCACCCAGGTTGGAGTGCAATGGCACCATCATGAACTATTTCAGCCTCAACCTTTTGGCCTCAATGAAACCTCCTGTCTCCGTCTCTTGAGTAGCTGGGACTACAGGTACACGCTACCATGCCCAGCTAATTTTATTTTTTGTAGAGACGGGGTCTTGATATGTTGCTCAGGCTAGTCTTGAACTCCTGGCCCCAACAGCCTTCCTGCCTCAGCTTCCCAAAGTGCTGGGATTAGAGATGTGAGCCACTGCACCAGGCCTCAGAGCCTATTTTTAAAAATTGAGGCTGGGTGCAGTGGCTCACGCCTGCAATCCCAGCATTTTGGGAGGCCAAGGCAGGTGGATCACTTGAGGTCAGGAGTTCGAGACTAGCCTGGTCAACATGATGAAACCCTATCTCTATTAAAAATACAAAAATTAGCCAGATGTGGTGGTGGCCATCTGTAATCCCAGCTACTTGGGAGGCTGAGACAGGAGAATCTCTTGAACCTGGGAGTGGAGGTTGCAGTGAGCTGAGATCATGATCACACCACTGCAGTCCAGCCTGGGTGACAAAGTGAGACTCCATCTCAAAACAAAACAAAACAAAACAAAACAAAATTGAGATATAATTCAGGTATCATCAAGTTCACTCTTTAAAAGCGTAAGTCAGCCGGGCGCGGTGGCTCACGCCTATAATCCCAGCACTTTGGGAGACAGAGGTGGGTGGATCACAAGATCAGGAGATAGAGATCATCCTGGCTATCACGGTAAAACCCTGTCTCTACTAAAAACATAAAAAAATTAGCCGGGCGTGGCGGCGGGCGCCTGTAGTTCTAGCTACTCAGGAGGCTGAGGCAGGAGAATGGCGTGAACCCAGGAGGCGGAGCTTGCAGCCAGTGGAGATTGCCACTGCACTCCAGCCTGGGAGAAAAACAAACCCCCCCAAAAAAAAAAAAAAAAAAAAAAAAAAAAAAAAAGTGTAAGTCTATTTGGTTTTGCTTTTCATTGGCTCATGCCTGAAAATGCTTACCTATTATTTACTAACTTTAAGCAGCTTTTGGTGACTTAGACAGTGAGGATGTCAAAAATCCACATGCTTGTATTACAGAAAAAGTCATCAATATTTTCTCTTTCACACCTGTGTTTTCCAGTGATTTCTTGCAGTCTCGTGATTACTGGCTCCAACAGAGTTCTGCCTGCCAATTTTGAGTCCACAGAGGCTCAGATGGGGAATTTTAAATTTGAGCCACTAGTACCTTTTCTAGAGATGTTTAAAATCAGCTATTTGGCAAAATCTGTAATGAGAGTAAAGTTGCTTTCATTCAAACCTACACAGAGAGTGACATCTGCTGGTCATGAAGATTGTTATTTTATTTTTTATTCCTTTTCAAAGTTTATCAATGACCCTAAAATAAAACATAAGAAAAGTAATTATCTCTTCTTTGAGAAAAAAGAAACCAACACATGACTAAAAATTCCAATATATGTACCATTGTGAGACATTTTTAAACTTAAAAAAAATGGAAATTCCTTCATTTTAGAAAACACTGCAGTTCTTTCATTTGATCAAGAGAAAATAAATTGTTGTGGAATTTGGAAATGAATAAAAGTCCTAGTTAGCCATTTCCTTAAAAATGTCCTTTGAGTTTTTGTTTCAGAGCAGCAATAACTAATTTAGTCTAAGACCTAATGAAAGACTGGCTATCAAAGGTCATTTCATCCTGGTCCTTCTATTATACTGTTAAATCCTAGGTTTCATACATGCCCATGTCCCTATTCCTACTTCCTAACTTTAGGATTGCATACAGATTAAACTTTATATACACACATCTAGATTTTTTTTTTGAGGAGTCTCACTCTGTCACCTAGGCTGGGGTGCAGTGGCACAATCTCGGCTCACTGTAACCTCTGTCTCTTGGGTTCAAGCAATTCTCCTGTCTCAGCCTCCTGAGTAGCTGGGATTACAGGCGCATGCCACCATGCCTGGCTAATTTTTGTATTTTTAGTAGAGATGAGGTTTCACCATGTTAGCCAGGCTGGTTTCGAATTCCTGACCTAGTGATCTGCCCGCCTTGGCCTCCCAAAGTGTTGGGATTACAGGTGTGAGCCACCACGGTTGGCCTACACATCTAGATTTCCATATTAGCTTTGGAAATTTTTCCCACTGTCTTTGAGGTTAGATTGTAATAGGAAAATTAGGACCTATATTCTGTTACTACATTTTTAAGTGAAAAAAGGCATGTATTTATAACTACTGATAAAATATAAACTTTGATCTGTGTACTAATGTGGCATCTAAATTTGGTAGTCAGGTTCCATTTTCCTTCAGGTTTATTTTTTATTTTTCAGTATTATAAAAATGCTGTGATTAGCCACCTTGTAAGTAAAACTTTGGGACATTCCTGATTCTTTCCATATGATAAATTTATAAAGGAAAAAATCTTAATCAAAGAGCTATAAATAACCAACGAAGAGCCTAACATTAGTGTAATAATAATAAAAAATTGAGGGGAGTAGAAGAGATGGATACTTTATAAATTCAATCCTTACTTATTATCTAGGGGAGTCAATATATAACTTTTAAAGCTGATATAACTGCTGTATCTTATGGTATGAACATACTACTTAAGAGATGTGGGTAGAACTACAAGAAATTACAGAAGAAATGGGTAACTGGGCAGGAAGGGGACTGTGGCTTTTCCTTATAGGACTCTCTATATCATTTTTTTCCCAGCCTTCAGCATGCAGTACTTTGATAAAACATTAATGTTTAAAAAATACATGAAAATGTATTTAAATTAAAAAATATTTTGCCAAATTATCATCCAGAAAAGTGTGCTAAGTTAGATTCCCATGGGGAATTTTGTGATGGTCTTGAATTACTCCATTAATTTCATGTCAATTTATTTATGATTTATACTCTGACATTTTGAACTTAGAAAAATACATATAAGATGTAATATAAGTGACAAAATTAGGGTAAAGGAAAAATAAGTGTAGGAAAAATTGAAACCAGAGGACACAAGAATCCAAGAATCCATCAGAACAGTCTGGAAAGCTGGTTACGAATGAGGATCCTTGACCTTATCAAAGACCCTGCTAATCAGAATCTCTAGGGTAAGGCTCAGCAATCTCCTTTTCAGCAGCCTTGATAACTTGGAGTTCTGAAGTAATTTAAAGATGACAAACAGTGATTAATATATTAGGCTATTTATTAATATGATATCCATAGCATAGGAGCTAGGGGAATGGACATTGTGAGACTAACTCCAAAGAGCATATTTAAAAATAAGTCTTATATAAGCCAGATCATTCCTTTTCTCATTGTATTTCATAATCCTCTTCTGATTTCATTAACCTCTCCATAACAAAGATGGGTGAACTCAATCTGTCATTTTGCCTTTTTGACTTCTGGGATATCTTCTCTTTTCTCCTGGCTCAATTCCTAGCCTACTGCACCATTTATCTGGATATTCTAGTGCTTAGGTATCTTTTTTACATACCACATGAACAGAATAAACAGATACTCAGAATTAGGAAAATCTCATGATAGCAACTAGGCAGTAGTACTTAATCTTTTCTGCTGTTTGTGTTTTTATTCTCAAAACACATTTTCACATGCCTCATTCAAAGTTAAAGTTGTTAAGTTTTTTAGATATAGAATTCAGTATATCATAAATATGAAAAAGAAACAGAATTACAGCTTAATTTTACAATGATATTAAGATTAAAATTATACATTAAAAAAGTATATCAGCTTACAGTGACTTCTGTAGCTGTAGCTTTTGTTCAATGATGTCTGAGAAACGAGGAACTTTTTTTGAAATAGCCACACGGATATCATCACTCAGATTAAAGCAGCTTCTGGACTTTGTTTTGAAATGTAAAAGTGATGAAAATCCCAGCTCACAAAGGTATGTAGTTGCAAATGGCATAAGGATTTCTAGAGCTGTCTTTGCCAGGTTTGGAAACACTGTGAATTGGGCACACCAGAAATCCTCAAGCTTCATTGTCTCAAATTCCATTAGGATTTGGCCACTAGCTCGTAATTCAGCAAGATCATTTTTCATTAAATAACTATCATCAACAAAATCGATATTAAAAAGAAATGGATCCAATATCCATTTACTTGCCTCATTAAGATCTCCAACGGAAAAATATCCATGGAAGAAGTTGCTCAATTGTTGCAGATGCAATGTTATTTCAGCTGCAATGAATATTCCTTCATTATCTGAAACAATTATTTCTTCAAGAAAAGGAAAATTGGTAAAATTTCTTTTCTCAATTCGTTTTTGCCAAAACGGAAACTTCCTAACAAAAGCAGATAACTTTTCTCTAGCTGATACTGTGTTCATCCCAGTCCTCTGCATAGATGCACTGAGTTCATTTAAGTGTTTGAATAAATCTGCAAGGTATGCTAGGTGAATTTTAAACTCTTTATTTTCAAAGCCATCAACTAAATTACTGCTTTTGTGGTGAAGAAACTGATTTATTTCTTCATACATTTCAAAAATGTGAGTAAGTATTTGGCCTCGGGAAAGCCACCTCATTTCAGTATGGAAAAGGAGGACACTATATTCTATACCAATTTCTTCAAAGAAAGCCTGAAATAGGCGATGATTTGGAGCTCTCCCTTTGATGAAATTTATTACCCTCACCACAGTAAACAGAGCATCCTTCAGTTTTGTAGGCAATGTCTTCATGACAAGTGCATGAGGATTCAATAAACAATGTGTGATTACGATATGAGGTATCTCTTTTTTCACATAGGCAACAAACTCGGAATTTTCTCCTAGCATAGAGGAGGCACCATCAGTACAAACAGAGCCACATACATCAAGTGCTATCTTATGCTTCAGAAAGAAGTCTCTGAAGAGATTGAACACATCTATTCCTTTCATGGATAGCTGCAATGGTTCACAGAAGAGAAATTCTTCTATGATCTCTCTTTCTTTTATATATCGCACAAATGCCATTAGCTGACCACAGTCATCCATGTCAGTTGTCTCAGCAAGCTGAATACCCACTTTAAGAGGACTGGCTTTGATATCTTCTAGAACTTGCTGTAAGATATCTTGGCTCATTTCATCAATTCTAGAATGGATCACGTCATCTGATAAGGGTACCTGCTGAAGCTTCTTTTGTGCATCTGGTCCCAAAACTATTTGTGCTATTTCCAGTGCACAAGGTTTCACTAACTTTTCAGCTACTGTATGAGGATTCTTCTCCTTGGCACATAAATACGCAAATTGATATGATGCTTGTAATAAAGTATCCTCATGAGATGCAACTCCAAATGCTTTCAAGGTTTCACTCTGATCAGATGGTGTTGGCATATGCTTCAGGCTATTGAGATCATGCCCAGCTACACCACCATGCTGTCTGTTAAAATGGTCTGACAGTTTTGATGGTCTGAGGTCAGCATTTGAAAATACTGAGTTACACAACACACACTGTGGGCGCTGAGTGCCATCAACTTCCGTTGTACAGGTGAACCAGTAGCGAACATAGTCATCATCCCATTTGCGTTTCTTCGACATGGCACACAAAAATTCTCAGGCAGTATTCCAGAGATGCCACAGAATTTTGCTTTGGGAGTAAAATATAACCCACACATTAAAAACCAGTGGCTAACTGAATTAAAACAAAGCCACATCACATGCTATATTGTCATCACATACTATTTTGTATATGTTAAGATACAGCCTGCAGCATGTCAATTCAAAGTAAGCCATGACAGGATATAGTTTAACTTAAAGCTAGCAACTCATAGCTAATGCCCTGGAATAAATGATTTGCCAGTAAGTTATATATGGAAGATTTGAGCTTAGACAAGTTATGCATACCTGTAAGTCCTTTATTGGTGAATTACAGTTATGGCTTAACTTGTTTTCAATAATGTATGTTACAAACATATCTAGCACATTTTGTATCCCTAGAAAGGGCATCTTACTACCACCACCTTCTTCCATTCAGCCCCAAAGATATATGCATACCCTCAGTTAAGAATCACTGAATAAAGGAGCAATTCACTAAATAAGGAAGGGGGGATGATGACATGGAGGTTAAAAAAATTATATAAATTTATGGGATAGAAGCACAATTTTGTTATATGCATAGATTGTATAGTGGCGATGTGAGGATTTTTAGGGTATCCATCACCCAAATAACATACATTGTACTCACGATTTCTCATCTACTCCCTCCCACCCCACCCTTCCTCTCCTCTACCCATCACTCCATTATCTGTTCATGTGTACACATTATTTAGCTACCATTTATGAGAACATGGTAGTTCTTTTTAATAGTTAAGGATTAAATAGGTCCGTAATACTATTTGAACCTTGAGCAGTTTTGAGTCCAACTTAGGCACAGAATTTCAAATCGGTCTTTAAGTGTGATTAAGCCACCCTTGATGCAAAAGTAGGCTACAAATTGGCTCAGAGTTTCCTTACTGCTAAGTGTAACACACTATTGGTCCATGATTCATACTCTCCACATAAAAAAGCAAAATGGCTGGGCATGGTAGCTCATGCGTGTAATCCCAGCACTTTAGGAGGCTGAGGGGGGTGGACTGCCTGAGCTCAGGAGTTTGAGACCAGCCTGGGCAATATGGTGAAACCCCATCTCTACTAAAAATACAAAAAATTAGCTGGGCATGGTGGCATATGCCTGTAGTCCCAGCTACCAAGCCAAGATCATGCCACTGCACTCCAGCCTGGGCGACAGAGCAAGTCTCTGTCCAAAAAAAAAAAAAAAAAGAAAAAGAAAAGCGAACAACTTGTTCAGGGGAAACACAACTATTCTTACCGAGACTTCAGCAAAATCCCTCTCATATGAGAACACCCTTAAGTACAATAAGGAATTTCATGATGCTTTTCCACCTAAATACCTCTAAGTGAAGGCAGTCATGAACACACACACACACACACACACACACACACACACACACACACAGACACACACAGCAGCATTCCTAAGGTTTGGTTTAACCCAAAGACAGGATGTAGAAGGCCCTACCCATAGAGATTCTGATTCTCTAGCTATGGAGTGGGGGCCTAGAATCTGTATTCTAAATAAGTATTTTAGATAATTCTTATAAATAGTAACTAGAACAGTCATCTGTGACAAGAGATACCATATCATCACAATCACTGGGAAACTCTTTGAAAATATACATGTCCCTGCACTACCTTAGAACTAATACATCATCTTCTCCAGAAGCAGAACAAAAGAACATAGGGAAATAATGTTGTTCAGGCAATCCTGAAACACATCCTGGTTAGGTAATCAGATTTAGGGGAATGAAAACATATCCTTCACACCAATCCTTAGCTAACAAATATTCTAGGTTTCTAAGTGAATGGTCCCAATGCTTGAATAGATATTTAAATTTTCTACGTTTTCTGAGCTGATGACATTCTCCTATGAAAGTTGAAACCTAAAATGAAAACCATGTCTTTTCTCTTTCTGTCTCTTTAGCAATGAGTAAAGGCATAATCCACAGGTAGGCTCAAACAGACCTTAGAAAACATTCTATCTCCAAGATAAATAAGTGATCCCCAAAGTTTCCGAAGTTCTGTACCAGAGAATGTGGCTGAAATAAAGTAACAGGTATACATTTAAATCTGAATGCCCACTTTGGCCATTAAAAGAAAAATCACAAGCCAAGAATATCTACTTAAAGCATTAGCTTTCAAGTGGATCTACCAAGATGAACTAGTTGTAAAGTGTACTCCAATAAAATAAGTTGATCTGTTACACGGTTGTTATGAGCCTGTTAAACTGGAGGATGTCTGCCAATCAAAAAAGACAATCCGAAGTTTAAAGTGCTGATCTTAAGCCTTCATTTGTCAAGTAATGAGACTACATGACTACTTTTGCTTAGAACCACTTCTAATTAATGACAATAAAATTATGACATTACCATAAAATGCTTATTTTTCTGTATTCTATTAATGTATATTTATCATGTAATATTTGGGGAGGCAGAGGGAATAAAGGAAAATGTTTTTAGTCACATTAGAAATCTTTACAAGAGGGGCCTGGCGTGGTGGCTCATGCCTTTAATCCCAGCATTTTGGGAGGCCAAGGTGCGTGGATCGCTTGAGATCAGGAGTTCCAGACCAGCCTGGCCAACACAGTGAAACTCTGCCTCTAATAAAAATACAAAAATTAGCTGGGTGTGGTGGCGCATGCCTGTAATCCCAGCTACTCGGGAGGCTGAGGCAGGAGAACTGCTTGAACCCAGGGGGCAGAGGTTGCAGTGAGCGCACTCCAGCTTAGGAGAGCCAGACTCTGTCTCAAGAAAAGGCCGGGCATGGTGGCTCATGTCCATAATCCCAGCACTTTGGGAGGCTGAGGAGGGCGGATCACCTGATGTCAGGAGCTCAAGACTGGCCTGGCCAACTTGGCGAAAACTCGTCTCTACGAAAAATACAAAAATTAGCTGTGCATGGTGGTGGGTGCCTGTAATCCCAGCTACTGGAGAGGCTGATGCAGGAGAATCGCTTGATCTGGGAGGCAGAGGTTGCAGTGTGCTGAGATGACACCACTGCACTCTCCAGACTGGGTGAGAGTGAGACTCTGTCTCAAAAACAAAACAGAACAAACCAGAAATCATTACAAGATCTGTTAAGAGTCCATTTCCTATCCACCTTGACTATGTCTCTCAAGTATATTTTAATTTAAAATTTATCTGTTTTGAACAAAAGTTTTAGGAAAATCAATTTATGGTATTCTTCTCCATCCTCCTGATAAAGGGAGAATAAGTGGCAAGAATTTTCCAGAGCCTCAAAGATGAACTTACTGCCCAAGAGGCTTGTTTTAGAACCTCACAATTTGCACTTGCGCTTTTTGTGCTATTTAGGAATTACAATATCCTAAAAAATGTAAACATTAAAAAGCATCATCATCATAACAGGCATGATAATGGTATTGTGGTTGTGTTTTTAAAAAGTCCTCATGTGTTCGACACAATTATTTACAAGTGAAATATGATGTCTGGGATTCCTTTGAAATACTATACTTCAGCACACTCACAAACATGCACAAAGCGGGGTGGAGATAAAATAAATGACTGGCCTTAAGTTGGTAACTCTTGAAGCTGGATGATGGGTACACATCATTACACCATTCGATTTTTATGTATTTCGGAAACTTTCCAAAATAAAAAAAGCATTATCTTAAGATAGATAGATATCACTCATTTTAAGAATGATTCTTTTGAGAGATTATCTTCAGATGCTTAATGAAAGATCTGATATAACAAAGTAAAATGTTTTGGCACGTTTATGAAGGGTAGATATGAAAAAGTATTACAATTGAGAAAAATCAGTTAAAAGTGAACACTCACAAAACATTTAGGGAATGCTTATATATATATATACACACACACATATATATATATTCATTCCAGCAGTGAAAACACCAAAGTGCAGTTGTAAACCTGAAACTCCAAACCAAATACAATTCAACTTCTATCCAGCCACTGAGTATGCAAGATCATGGTAGGCGCAGCTGTTTGGGGAGGCAGAGCATTTAAGCATTACATTTTGCAGTTAAAATTAATAGCCAGGAGAAAGGGGGCAGGAACTTGGTGGCTGGGCAGACGCTCCAGGGGCAAACGCCTGGGATCGTGGCTTTGTCACTTACAGGCTGGGACCTTTCCAAGCCTCAGTTCCTCCAGAGGGGATAACAGTACCTACCTTACAGGGTTGTTGGGAGGTTTAATTATAAGAATGCATGTAAATAACAAGCAGCTCTTAACTGATAGGACCTGATGGTGTTACTGTTAAGGACGGAGATTTTTACAGCCTCCAGGGTGAGACAACGCCAACGGCTAGGAAAAAAAAAAGAAAAAGACTCAGCGCTGTCTCCGACCGCCTGTCTCCGAGCCTGAGGCGCAGGCCCATGGGATGCTCGCGCTTCTTTTAGGCGCCTGTTTCAGGCTCCAGTTCCGCTCTCCGCTCAGCCTAGGGTCCAGCCTCTGGCCGTCAGAACCAGTAGAGACGGCGGTTCCTCAGGTCTGACCCCCGAGCAGGAATCTGCGGTGCGCCTGGAGAGACGAGCATCCGCAACAACCTCCGCCTTAGCCAGGCCCGAGTTCCATCCGGGTTCTCCAGGGTGCTTCCCGCCCGTAAACTGGGCGAGGCGTCTCCCACACGCAGGCGCAGTAGCAAAGGGCTGTGGGATGGGCTGGCGGGTTTGAGTACTGAGCATGCGCGCTGGCCCTCCCCCTTTCTTTGAGGTTGTGTACGTGGAACACAAAATCGTTTGTTTATTATGTCTGCCAGAGAGGATGAACCGTACAATTTCAGGAATGGAAGGGGCTACAAACTACACATAGTTCTTTTTAACATGCAGAGCACTGAAACTTTTATATTGTATTGGGCTTTGAGCTTGGAGATGATAAAACGCTTGATAATTACCATGTTCCATGTGGAGTAAATGAGAGAAAAAGAGAAGGAAGCTCATTGTAATCTCAGATTAGACATTTCAGCAGTGGAGGATGAGCTTTCATAGCTTGTGTACTGTTGTCCATGCAGGGTGATCCCCCCCGCCTTTCCTTAAGTGGGAACATGGGGATGAATTTCCTTATCATCATCCATCTCAGAGGAAAGATTTTTATTTAAAATTCTTTCAACAACATGATTTCAAAGAAATAAACCCATATTAGAGAGGTTTTAGGGAAAAATCCCAAGTAGAAACTAGGAAACGTTGTTGAAAGAAGTAAACCGGAATATAGCCCTTTCCTGTTTGGGGGTCTTTCCAGAATTCTTATAAACTTAAATGAGTTTACTCATTTTTGTACAATATTGTTAGAAGCATTCTATAAGGCTAGTGTGCGTGAGGAGTGGTGGGGCGTCAAAGAACGTAGGCCAGATACATCATTTTCAGGTGCTGAGGGTGAGCCTGGTAAATATTGAGGGGCTGCTTAAGTTTTTGTGGATGCAAGAAACTCCTAAAGACCAGCCTTGTTGGTCAAGAAACTAGGGCCTTAAATACTAGAGAAGGGGGTAGGCTTCAGAATCCGAGACAGCTAGCTTCATGTCCTGACTCCAATACTTACAACGGTTAGGATTTGTGCAGATTACTTGGAGTTAATTCCATGTGCTTTTTGTAAAATTGATAGATCATCCATTACCCCATGAAGTTCTTTTGACGAAGGAGGTAACATTATGACAATTACAGTACATAATTCTTGAAAAGGCAGCTATTGAGATAATAAAATCAAAGCTCAATCTGAATAATGTCCTAGGCATTACGATTCTGAGACAGGATCTCATTCTGTTGCCCAGGCTGGAGTGCAGTGGTGCAATCTCTGCTCATTGCAACCTCCACCTCCCGGGTTCAAGCAATTCTCATGCCTCAGCCTCCTGAGTAGCTGGGATTATAGGTGTGTGCCACCATGCCCAACTAATTTTTGTATTTTTAATAGAGATGGGGTTCCGCTATGTTGGCCAGGCTGGCTGGGCATTACTTTTCGAAAATAAAACAGAAGACATGATTCTGGATATTATAGAATTCTTCCTAAATCAAAGTAAACTAGGCCTCATAGAAGAGGGAAAGAGGTACAGAAAGGTTAGGTGACAGGATGCTGAAATTTTCTTAAACTCACGGAAGCTAATCCAGGTTCCCCTCCCTGTCCCATAAACAACTTTTCTGCCAAATATTAGATATAATGCTACAAACCACGCAGTTACGTATTGTCATTTATTTATCTTTAACAAAAGATAAAATACAAAGCAGACACAACAATGTCAGCCTTTATGTTGAACCACCCTGTTTGGATAGGAAAATGAACATTTTTTTGCATTCTTGAAGTAAATAAGAATTAAATCTATTTGCATTGTTGTTTAATTTCATACCAATCTAAAGCTAGACACTATGTATATCCAAAGTACTTGACAATTTGACTCAGTTACTCTCACACCACCCTTTCTGAGATGCAGTATCCTATAGGTAGTTTTTGGTAGTTTAGAAAAGCCAGTGAGCTGTTAAAAGTTGATATACTGAAGTTGGAGGTTTTGTTAGGCTGTTTTCACTGATTCCACTCTGTCAGTATTATCTTCATAGTGTTCTGAGAAGGGGCTTCAGGATCATGGCAATCTATTACTAATATCCCTACAAGCTACCCTTGTAATTCTTTCAAGAAGCCAACTTCAGGTTTTGGATTTTTGCAAATTTTACAAACAAAGTAACAGCTGCTGGCTATAAATATTAGGATATTCTACAATTTAAAAAATCTAATATTCATGATTGTTACATGAGGGCAATCACAATGAAAACAAATAGTATCGTAAACCATATCCTCTATGATAAAGGAAAGGATTTCTACATCTAAAGGCTTATGTCCAGAATGGTAAAGACCTACTACTGATCAGTCAATATTGACCCAATGATGAGAAAATAGTTGTTTTCCATTCAAAGACTAACACATTTAGTCTACTCCAGAGGCCGAGGAGAGAGAATCGCTTGAGCCCAAGACTGCAGGGCGTTATGACTGCGTCTGTGAAAAGCCACTGCTCACTAGCCTGGGCAACATAGCAAGATCCTATCTCTTAAAGAAAACAAAACACGAAAATAAATGTAGTCATAGAGTTGCTAGTAATTATTTTAAAAAAACAAAGTCCTTAAAAAAAAAAAAAAAGTCCTGTTTTTTCCTCAAAACCAAGGTATGCTAAGACTAAATATAGGGCCACAAAAATCAAAGCAATAAAGTTTGAAGCTTAATAAATGTAGAGAGAGACATTCTTAATAGGTAGAGAGCCAAGGCTTCTTTACACATGACTCACATAAAACTGGAAATAAAATCTTAATCCAATTTTAAATTCTGTTCCCAAAAGCACACTTCATGTGCCTCTTCTTTTTCTTTTTTGCTTCTTCAGTATGGAAAGGAGTGAACTTACTGTGAGGCACCTGAAATATTTATTAAAGTCAGGCAGCAAGAAGAATAAACAAGGATTTTTGTATCTACAATCATCAATAAGAAGCTGAAAAGAATGTATCAGCTGCATCTATCTTGGATGGTCATCTGACTAGTTACTACTGTCCAAGGAAAGAGGCCATGGGGTCATCTGGCCTCTGACGTTTCATTCTATATGCCTCCATTTCCTCTTCAGTAGGTTCCCGAGTTTCATACATGCTATTGTAAGGCCGCTTCCTCTCATCAATCTGCATGGTCTCCTTGACATGAAGAAGGCGGGCCTCCTCTGCATTCAGTGCCTATCGAGAGAGGAATAAAATGCATATCACAGCTCTACATCAGATCTCTTTTCTTCAGAAGTGGCAGAGTACCAATGGACCCCACTGAGTATGAACTGCTCTATCAGAAATGCAGATTGCCTGAAAGAGCTTTGGAGTCAGCCCTTCTACTGTCAAGCTACAACTAATCACTATTTGGCTTATATGATATTTTTATAGAGCACAAAACATTCTATAACATTTTAAATCAATGTTGAAGAAATTTTATTTAATAACAAAAATTAAATGAGGTTCACTTTACTGATACAAGCTCGCAAATGATGCTTCTGGTAAAGACTACAATTCTGACTTTTCTCAAGGACTTGCTGAAACTTACAAATTATAGAGCTAGAAGGCAATTCTTTCTGGTCAACATGGCAATAACTCTAAAATGCTTTATAATGCACATTTCTTCTGTCCATTAGTCATGATTACTAAATACTCCAAGAAGAAGGCAATACCTACACCCCACAATACCTCCATTAATATAACTTGAGCAAATCACTCAGACTCTAGGCTTGTTTCATCATTTTAAAAATGCATTTGGAGACAGGACTAGATCATAGGCCATTACAAATAAAGGCCTTTACAAATAATACTGGCCAGGAGCGGTGGCTCAAGCCTGCAATCCCAGCACTTTGGGAGGATGAGGTGGGCGGTTCACCCGAGCTCAGAAGTTTGAGACCACACTGGGCAACATGGTGAAATCCTGGCTCTATAAAACAATACAGAAATTAGCTGGGCATGGTGGCATGTGCCTGTAATCCCAGCTACTTGGGACACTGAGGCAGGAGAATTGCTTGAGCCTACGAGACAGAGGTTGCAGTGAGATGAGATTGCACACTCTAGCCTGGGCAACAGAGCAAGACCCTGTCTCAAAAAAATAAAAACCCCAAAAACAAAGAATACTGTTACTTAACACTTTTACTATTTAGACTTCACAAATTACCTTTTTCAATTTTTCATGCTTCTTTTCTTCATCATCACTATCTGAACTGCTCTTTCGATGCTTCTTCTTTTTCTTTTTCTTCTTCTTCTTTTCCTCTTTCAGTTTTTCTTGATGCAGCTGGAAGGGAGGATTGAAATGCAGTGTTATTAATGTGAAAACAAAGCTCGGGTGCACTACTTGGGAGGCTGTGGCACGAGAATCACTTGAACCCAGGAGGCGGAGGTTGCAGTGGACCCAGATCGTGCACTGCACTTGAGCCTGGGTGACAGAATGAGATTGTCTCAAAAGAAAAACAACAAAACAAAACAAAAAAACTCAGGTGCAGGTTTTAAAGCCCTCCCTCCAGGACTTAAAAATTCAGGACAAATGATTATCAACTTACCTCCATGAGAGTCTGAGGTTTTTTCACAGATTCGTCCCCAGTTATATCATTTATAATACATTCCTCAGAGTTCTGTGGAAAAATACATGTGATCTGAGTTGAGTGTCATAGTTACTAATCATCTAAGAAAAAGTTAAAATTTGAAACACGAGACAGTATGTTTTAGTTTGACTTAGGAGCTTCGGTTGTTTTATACCTTTAAGAACCAAAGACAATTACTTACAACAATCTCCTTCCCAGCTTCTCCAGTACAATAGGAATACTTGAAAAAAGAGTGACAGCATTTGTATCCCCATCGGCCTTCTTTCCAGTACGATCCCCAGATATGCTGCAGAGAGAGAAATTACTTAAAAAGGAAGCTGAAATTAGAAACTTCTATATACTGTTGATAGGAGTATAAAATAATACAGCCCTTTAAAGGTAATTTAGGAGAAAAATTATGGGGATTCAAGGCTGGCTAACAGGGACAAGGTAGTCTGACCTGAAGTGTGAGAGGCAAGCATTGTAGTTATAAAGCTCTTAAATTCTATTCCCAAAAGCCTATAAAAAAATTTAGTGTATCTGACTTCTCTCGAAAAATGAAG